GAGTTCTAAGTCAACCTGGCCTACATAGCAAGACACTGTCTCAAAAACCCAACTGTAAAGCTGTATCAAGCAAATGAATATGTATATTATTCTTCAACAACAAACGTTAACTGTATGAGCAAAATCGGAGCTTAAAATTAGATCTACCACAGTGCTTACCACATGGCTTGGATAACAGATCTTTTTTGTTATTAATTTCGAAGGCAATATACAAAGTACTGGGTTTCATTATAACATTCTTGTATATATGTGTCATTGTACTTTGTTCTATTTTGTCCCCTCTCCACAAATGCTCACCATATGTCCCCTGCCCTGCTCTGGCTGGTCCTTTAGTTCACTCAGATAATCCCTGACTTTGAACTTAAAGGTGTTTGCCAGCACACTGGGCAATAATGGAATATTAAATAAATCATCTTTTTACATGAGGAAAATGACATTCTAAAATAAGATATAATAATATAGTGATTATAAATGTAGAATAATAATCACTGGTTATAGCAAATCATTTCTTTTTTTTATTTATTTTAAAGGTTGTATATAAAACGGTGGGTTTCCTTACAGCATTCTCTTTGTACATCTTCGTTTCCATTGTATGTACTTCTCATTTGCACACATCCCCTACTGCTCTGTCTCAGGTTTCCTGCCTGCATTTGGGAAGCAGTAACCAGTGCTCTGGGCATTTAAAATTCATACTACTCAAATTTAAACAACTAATATTCATAATTATCTTAAGAGATGATGATGATGATGATTTAAAAAGTGTTAAGATATTTCTGTCCCTGTTTTGCAAACAGCTTTGACTGTAGGTGTATGGTGTCAGGTCCAAAGGGGACACCATTTCTTTCAAAAAGGGCAGGCCCACAGACTTGGTCCAATATTGAGTCTAGGCTCAATTCAAGCTGGACTACAGAAGGATTTCTGGCTGTGAGATAAAAGATAGTATTCTTCAGGAAATTGTGAAACACGTTCCCTTGCCTCTGGCTCTCCACTGATATGTATCCGGGGTAGGTATCATTATATCCAAGTCCAGGCTGGCATCCAGGCTCTTTCAGGCCCTGTTTACAAATACCTATTCCTTGACTGTTGCCTCACATAAATATGTTAGTATAACAAGCTTAATAGTTATTCAAATTTTAAATATAAAGAATTATCTACTCCCATTATGATTTATAAATACGAAAATTTTAACTACATTAAAAATTGATGTGAGAAGTCCTTTTGTATATGTGTTGCTTCTATTGGTTAATGAATAAAGAAGCTGCTTTGGCCTATGGTAGGGCTGAGTAGAGCTAGGCAGGAAACCTAAACTGAATGCTGGGAGAAAGAAGGTGGAATCAGTGGATGCCAAGTAGCCACTGTGGGAGATAGATATGCAGGTACCTTGCCGATAAATCACAAGCCTCGTGGTAAAATACAAAATAGTGGAAATTGGTTAATTTAAAATATAAGAGTTATCCAGAAATACACTTAAGCTATCGGTGAAACAGTATTGTAATTAATATAGTTTCTGTGTGGTTATTTCAAGTCTGGGCAGCCGGGAATGAACAAACAGCCTCCGCCAAAAGAAAATTATGTAAAACTGAAAAATACCAAAAACCAAATATATTCATTTTAATTATCAAGGCCTAAGATAAATAAGTTATGTATTTCATGTGGGCACTGTCAGAAAGGAGCATGTAAACACTTTAATAAGTATGATAATCTTATGTTAGCAATTATTTTTCTGTAATTATATATGACTCTATTTTTCTGTAGGAAGTGGGGATACAAACCTTTATTTCTTCTTTACATTATGATAACTATTTAATTTTTATGTGTTTGTTTTCAGTAGTATGTACTTTTCTTGATTTTATATACCTACTAGTAATACTAAAATAAACTTTGCAAAGAAATAGAGTTTATTTGTTCATTATCACTTAATTATCTGTTTAGTTTGACAAAAATCACCATCAGGTTTCTATTGCTGGGAGCTTGGGAGAGATGGTGCAGAGGTGGAGTTAAGGAGAAAGGCAAAGGAGATGGATCATGTCACACTTAGAGCAAGGCTGATCATAAAAGCTCTCAGCTGTGGAAAGCCTAGCATTGATTAAGAGTGTTGTGAACTGCAGATGTTCTGGAATTCAGGTCCCTCTATTAGCTCCGCTCCTCGCCACAACTTTCAGGTACCTCTGGTGAATTCCCTATTCTTTTTATTACTGTCAGGCGCCCTTGATGTATGAGAGACAAAGAAAGCAAACACATTCGGATGACAAAAGCATCTTCAAGAGAACCGGAAAGGAGACCAGGGCTCCTTAGCAACAACATTGATGTCGCTAGACAACATTCCCACCCTAAAGGTCATTGTTCTCTTTTCTAGTTTGGGCCAAAACCAGAGTCATTCCAAAGCTACTTTGAAACTAACCACTCCCACAAGGTCCAATGACATATGCAATGCTCATGCATAGGAGGAGGTAGGATAGCTAAGTAGATTCAACTATACTAAAATAAAGCTTTCATAAGAATGCAATCTTCTAACCCATTGTTTCTCTCAAGCAACAACATCATCTAAGTTTTCTCCAACTTTATAATAAGCATTGAGAACAACCCAAAACTAGTTTCTTTTTAGCTAGAGGAGAGCAGTGGAAAACATCTACTCCCTTCATTCCTCATGTCATATTGTACTGTTTCAACATCCCTGGCACATGACCACATTAGCAAGATTGCCTTTGGATGCTGTTGTACAGTCGTGCCCTGTTTCACATTGTTTCAGTCAAGGACAGAGCCCCCAAATGAGGGTATTCCACAGTAATCCACCTCCTAGTGATGTCCCTGTGGTCTCAGTGTACGTAAACACACTTCACAATGTTCTCGGTCAATCCATAGACACATGTGTGAGTGCTATTTTATCGTCTGCAAAAGAAACAGACCCCTTGGGGATTTTCTATGTGAATGTTGAAGAAAACGGAGGTATTTCTGTGATGATGTGATAAAATGAAATGGGATGGAAAGATCACGAACACTTCACGCCTCCATCTATTTGAGACAGCCAGAATTAACAGACGGCAACACACTACTGCTCTTTAGGCCTTCTCAGCTTTTCGACTGATTAAGCCTTCTTGATTACTTAAGGACACCAGTTTCCTTATCCTGCCTTGGTGGACTGATGTGGCAGATACACGAGAAGTTGCCACCATGGGAAAAACAAATGCCCTGAGCAGGGCCTTTGTAAGTTATACTAGCGGAAACCAATCATCCTCCCAAATAAAGTGGCATAGGAAGACCCTGTCTCAAAACAGAAGCAAACATGCAAAAGAAAATGCATCCAAACAAAAAAGCCCAAACTTGGAAAAATCAGCAGACTTTACCTTTAAAAACTTAGCGGCATTGCCATATTTAATATCTTAATGTATTTATGTTTCGTGATAGTAACCAGGTACACGACATATTCTCATTTTCAAGTCATTTTCTTTTGTTAATCACACACACACACACACACACACACACACACACACACACACACATACTCATGAAGCCAGAAGAGGGCAGCGGACCTCTGGGAGGTGGACTACAGGCAGCTGTGAGTGGCCTGACATGGGCACTGGGGCCCGCACTCAGGTTCTTGGCAAGAAAGGACACGCCCCTAACTGCTGAGCAGCTGTGCAACTCCACAAGGCATCTCAGAGGCATCATCTCAGCAGATTGTCCCTGGGAGTCCATGACGTAAACATGCCCAGGTGGGAACACTGTGATACTGATGCCTTATGTGGATGAAAGGATTTTATTAAGGAGAAATACTTTAGATCATTCAAACCTGAGTTTTCCTGACATTTTCAGATACTTGAATTGCTTAAAGGGTATGTATGCCAGATCAACAATAAGGAAGGAGATTGGAGGTGACATGTATCTTCAGATAAAAACTCAATGGCCTCCTTACAAGGAATGATGAGACTGAACTTAGAACATACTTGTCTTTAACTCAGCAGTACGTCCACTTCCTCCAACGGGGTTAAATAATTTCAATATTTCTCTCACGTCTATGTTTTGTCCATGGGTTTTTATGTTCCTGGACTTTGATTTCTCACCTTGTCATGTGGAGGTATCTCGTTCAAGATTCAGATCCCAGCTTCAACCTACTCTCTGTGGATCATCCCATCCTGATAGGAGGTTAGGTCTCCCTGCAATGACTTTCTATATTAGAACATGCATTGCAAATTTTAGATCCCTTGTTTCAACTGTTTCCTATACTAGCTCTAACTCCAGGAAGACAGAACTGTCATACATGCTATGCTTGTTCTTCACGGTTGCTGTGTGATGTTGGGTTGTGTTCATTTAATGAAAATGTCCATATTAGTTAGTCTTTCAAAAGAGATGACTTTTTTATATTTTTATAACGATAATTATTGTAGGTACATAGTATAAATTCCTTAACCTAACAATTTCATATATTTGCTATTTTTGTCAGAAGCAATGTGAGAGACCTGAATTTTAAATATTCTTCCAGGAAAGTATGTTTAGACTATGTTAGATGGAACAGTGATTAGCATGACTTAAGAAAGTAACTTCTTTGAGGAACATTTAGTTGCAACATTGAAAATGATTGTCCAAAAAGAAAAAAAAATCCTAACTACACATTGCGCCATTCCCCAAATATGAGTTACTCTTGTGTGGATAGAGACATAGATCAGTTGCGTTTTCCACGCGGCTGCGTTAGTTATGGGAGAGCAGAAACACAAAGATCAGGGACAGCTGGGATTGATTTGACTTTCCCAAACATCTGCTCCTCTTCCTTTGTAAATTCTTTAGGAGACAGACACAGAAAAGGGGAAAGCAAACAAAGGGTCAGAACATTCCTCCTTAGCGAGCAGGTGGGGTGGGGGAAAGGGAACAACCCAGCAGGAAGTCACCAAGGATGCCTTGGGTGGTGACAGCTGGCTCTTCCCGGGGGAGTCTTTGAACAGTGCAGATAGACAGTCAAGAGCACATGGCTTAACAAGGAAGGGCTTTCGAGAACCAGGGCTTACCTGTTCGTAGTAGCGGATGTTCTCCTCGGCTGTGTCAGTAAAGGCCGACTTGAGATCATTCTGCATGTTCTGCTTCCACCGCTCCCAGTCTGCTTTCAGCGCATTGTTAGCGCACTCCACTTTATCTTCAAGTTTCCCGATTTCTTCTGTAAGCTGAAGCATGCCACAGAGAAAGGTAAGTGAAGCTGTGTGGTCTCAGCATGTAGAGAATTCACTGAGTCCATGTAGACCATTGTGGGACGAAAGTTAAAAATAGCTCGAGTTTGGGGTGAGAAAGGCAACCAGAACCGACCACGCACAGCAGTTAAAATGGAAAAGGCACGGCATTCAGTAGCTATTGGATAAAGTCCTATGGTCTGCCACAAGACCATGTCAGCTTGGATAACATCTCAAACCCGGTGCTTCAATTTCATTATTTATAAAACAAGAAAAACTGAAAAGCACATATCTGGAAAAAAATTATAATAATAACTCTTGTGATTGCTAACATTCATGGTGATATTTACATTTATGTTAAAAGACATGAACCTTCCTTCACTTCAACTTTTAAGTTCTGGTTCCTCATTTTTAATTATTTATAACCATAAGCTAAATTAACTACATGTGCAGGGACTATGTTTTCAAAGACGCATATTTAGGGGATTAATTTACACCATCTTGTTTGGGTAACTGGATGTCTTAGTTTGGGGTTACTGTTTCTGCAATGAAACATGGTGACCAAAAAGAAAGTTGGGGGAGGACGAGGTTTATTTGGCTTATGCTTCCACACTGTAGTCTGTCACTGAAGGAAGTCAGGACAGGAACTCAAACAGGACAGGAACCTGGAGGCAAGAGCTGATGCAGAAGCCGCGAGGGGTGCTGCTTACTGGTTTGCTTCCCATGCCTTGCTCATCTTGCTTTCTCACAGAAACCAGGGCCACCAGCTCAGGGATGGTACCACCGATAATGGGTTCGGCCCTCCACCATCAATCACTAATGTCCTACAACTGGATTTTATGGATAAATTTTACCAATTGAGTTCCCTCCTCTCAGCTAACTTTAGCATGCATTAAGCTGACATAAAAATATCCAGCACACTGGACACACAAGCAAGTTCACAGGCTCAAGATATCTGACATACAGTCCATCCTCTATTGGATAGGCTTACTGTGATACTTAGATTTTTCTTCCCCTTCCCTACCAAACTTGGAGCATGATGTCATTGGTTCCGTCTTTAGATTTAGCACATTGAGACATATTTCACAAATGTATGTGTTTGTTAATAAACTCAGAATAATTTATTGAGTGCCCCGTCTGTGCCAGGCATGCCTCTGGGACTGGAAGATTTAGCAGTGAAGATATTGGGCAAACATTTTCACTTTTCCTAGAGTTTATTCTCTCCTGGGGAGAGACAAGCTATAAGCAAAATAAATAAAATATGAACCATCAACTGGTATAAAGGCTGAGATGGAAAATAAAGCCTAACGCTAGAGAGAAAATATGAGGCCACTGAAATTTTAGACAAGGTGACCAAAGGAAACCTAAGAAAGAAAATACCATTAGAATTGAGATCTGATGTTTGAGAGTGAAACATGGGGTCATCTTGGGCAAAGCTCTCTTAGTAGAGGGCATGGGTAAAACATGGACCAGGGGATGCACACATGGCTGGCCAACTCAAACAACATGCTGGAGTAGACTGAACAAAGTGGATGAAGTCCTCCGAGGAGGGAAAAGCAGTAGCAGGAAGATCTGATAGTGCCACAGTCCATGGAAAGGCTCAGGAGTATACAGAACCATGACACAGTCGGGAGGTACGAGCAGAAACGGCCCCTCTCCTGTTAATGACACCACCATTTCATGCTTACAAAGGGACACTATATGCAGCCATCATTCGTAGTTGGTTGGATTTATAAAGGGTCACCATTTAAGAAGCATTTCTTATTTCAAAGAAATTACAATGTGGAAATGTCTTAAAGTCACTAAAAATATTTCTTACTGTTAATTAAATAAATTTTTCTTTAATATTAAATTGTCCTTGTATATTTGTAATTTTACACTTTATGATCCCAAGAAAGATTTTATATAGATGCACACCTCTCTCCCTCACTCTCTCTTGTGTGGATAATGTAAGGCTATTTGTTGAAGTCCTAGCTCCTCCATCCACAAAACAAACATAAAAATAAATAAAAATATTAGCACTCATTCCATAGAAATTTTGTTTAAATACATAAAATACAAAATATCGAATTACATAATGTCTGACAATTTGCCTACTAGATGGCTGTCCTTGACCATCATGATCAAGAGAATCATGCCATCAGCGTTAGCTCTTACAACAGACACAGACACCCTTTCCTCCTCTGCTCCTTTGGTCTCTGGCAATGTGTCATTCTTCTGTCGACATCTGGGCCTTACTTGGATCACTAGTGCAGTTTCTAACGTTGTCTTTCTCCGTGTGAAGGATCACATATACACTTCCAAGAACTATGACCAATTCTTGATGCTTTTGTTGCTGCATTTTGTTCTTGTGGATGAGTTCATTATTTTGGTTGGAAAAAGAAAACTGAGAACATTTCTGCACAGTGAATCATCTTCTGGAGATGTTATTTCAAAGATACCAAAGAAGCACATGATACCCGATCCAAAGAATGGTCTGCATTGTATTGTTCTAATCCATGAAAGCAGAACTTAACTAGATGCTATTCTCCTAAGTTCTCAGTGGACTTCAGTTTTCTCACTTCTTCTTTGGAACTGGGTCTTTATGTCATCTATGCTACCCTCAAACTCAATACAAAGCAGAGGGTGACCTTAAACCTGGTCCTCCTGCCGCCTTCACTTTCTTCCTGCATGCTCATACCTGGTTTATATAGTTCTGAGGTTCTAACGTGAGACTTGGTGCATTCGAGGCAAGCACTCCATCAACCGAGCTATAATCCATCCCCTTATTGCTTGCTCTGTTACGATGATCGGGTATTTTTGAGTTGGCTATCTGTCTGGGTTCTGACAGAACATTAGACATTCAATAAGAATTAACAAATGTGTAGAAACAGAATGTGTTAGGAACCTGCCAGGTCAAGACAGTGCCTCCAGTGTTCTGGTGTCTCGGGCTCTAACAAATGGCAGGCTCTGCTAACTATAACCATTTGGGATCCAATTCATATTCTGGATTGCAAAATAGTGTGTAAAAAGGACTGGGTAAAGAGGACTGACCATTTTTCTAATTTTTTTTAAATACTTGCAGCACTTTGACCTTTGTTAGGTGAAACTTGAAAAAGCAAGCAATTACCAGAAATATGTTCTAAGACCAAAAAAAAAATTACTACTAGAATAATGGAAGGTAATGAGAAAAGGTTTCTATTTAATAGTAAAGCTAATAGGTAACTTCTAGCTTCTGTTTAATTCAGTCAGAAATTAGCCATAGAGTTAAATGAAACTCATTACTACTAGAAGATGAATCAAGATTGTCTTCAAATAGTACATACCTATAGCAGTGCAACAATGAATAATTAATATATTTCTGCCAGCTGCTATCGCTTTAAGTTATATACTCACATATATTATTACATTTAATCTACATAAAGATATTATAAATTAGGTTTCCTTTTCTTTCTATTAGAAATTGGGAACCTAGGAGAAAGGACCAACAAAGACAACAGTGACTTCTGACATCATAGAATTTCAAATCAAAATCTGTCATGCCTGTGTTCTCTCTAGGCCAACAGACTGTGATCACCCAGGTATTGGTCTAGCCTGCCCATGGCCTTCAAGGGTTAGCTCATTCAGCTCTGATTCTCAAGATTGCCAACTATGAAGATACAAAAAATCCAAAATAAAGCAAAAGCCAGAACATAATGCATCTATCATTAAGGAAGAAAGTGTTCAAATGAATACATAGATGCAGGATAGTAGATTAATTCTGGGGGTGGGGCAGGCACTATTTTGACCACTCATTCACGGGGCCTCACACCTAGGCGAGGCTACGGCATGAGCACGGACATTATGCGACAGTGAGACAAAGAAGGGAGAGATGGTAGAATTTGGAGTGGACAAGAACAAAAGCAAACAATGCAGCGAGGAAAGAAGACCGCAGCCTGGGAGGCAGCAATGACGACCGAGAAATGGAGACTGCAGCAGTCAGCACTGGAGGCTTTATCCAGAAGAGGGAGAGCTGTTTTGAGTAGATGAGACTGAGCATGGCAGGGGGTAACTAAAAAAGACAGGATGGAAGAGAGAAGACAGGCGAACAATAGGTTTGAACCAGGGCTCAGGAAATTAGCAGGAAAAAGAACAAGGAAGATGTGGCTTGTTCTCACTTGCCCTGTGGTATCCATTCAGTGCCCATCTAGTCTACATCAGGTACTCAAAGATGGGGAGTAGAAGTGGTCCTCATGAACTCCTGCTGACAGGAGAAACACAAAGCAACCGGTTAAAGAAAATGTGAGGAACATTTCCCGTGAAGTGAGTGGCAAGGAAAATTAAGAAGCACGCTTGTTTTGGAGTTTCAGAAGAACTGGTGGTGGCTTTTGACTGCTGGGACCTAGAATAGGAGCAGGAGAGAGAGGCGGATGGGCAGGTGGGTTGGCTCTGAAATAAGAGTCCAGCAGGTGTTTGGGTTTTAATGGACGATTTCCTGAAATAGCTTACCAAACAAGATTTCGGTGATAACCAGGGTAAGGTGGAGACTGAATTCTGGAAGGCAGAAGCAGGGGAGTCTAGATACTTAGCAGAATTGTCCTTATTTGCATGCCTGGAATTGAACAACAGAAACTCAGACAGAAAGGAGGACAGCTTCCAAATAAAAAGCACCATGGTCCACTGTATTATCTCAGGAGGTTCTTCTGTTTTAGCCCTGACCACTGTTCCCTACAGGTAACTGAGTCAATCTCTTTTTCTACTATAACTGGTCTTGGATGAACTATTCTAGCTTCAGCCTACGCCCTGCAACACTTAGCATTCAATCAAGCCAGCAATTCCTTTAGTTTTCTTGTACCTTCCTATCTGAACGTAAACTGCCATGAGACCACCTAGCTTCCAACCACAGCCTTCAGTCCTGTGCAGGCATCTCCTTCGAGCACAGTGTCCCGGCATTCACAAAGGAACTGGAACAGAAACAGTAAAGGAAAACGGACTTATTTACAGTTTGGGGGAAAATAAGAGTAAAAAGAAGCCAGCTT